TAGAATTTTAGAATTTTAGAATTTTAGAATTTTAGAATTTTAGAATTTTAGAATTTTAGAATTTTAGAATTTTAGAATTTTAGAATTTTAGAATTTTTAGAATTTTTAGAATTTTAGAATTTTAGAATTTTAGAATTTTAGAATTTTAGAATTTTAGAATTTTAGAATTTTAGAATTTTAGAATTTTAGAATTTTAGAATTTTAGAATTTTAGAATTTTAGAATTTTAAGAATTTTAGAATTTTAGAATTTTAGAATTTTAGAATTTTAGAATTTTAGAATTTTAGAATTTTAGAATTTTAGAATTTTAAGAATTTTAGAATTTTAGAATTTTAGAATTTTAGAATTTTAGAATTTTAGAATTTTAGAATTTTAGAATTCTAGAATTTCAGGGAAAAATTTTGAAACAGAAAAAATTTTAGATGAATTTTTCGGATTTTATGAATTTTTTGAATTTTTGAATTTTTGAAAAAATTACAGTAACCCAATAAAATAACCTAGACTACAGTACTCAACCTACAGTAACCCCAAGCTTCAACAAGACCTAAAACTGGTTATTTCAAATCTAGATCAAATCTACAGTAACCCAAAATAATATTTTCTGCTATTAATGTTCATTTCAATCTACATTGATCCAGTAACGAGGTTATAATATCAAATCTGTGTTAAACTACAGTAATCCCCATCTACAGTGGTTATCGAAAACTGCAGTAACCCTGAAAATCAAAACTAGACTACAGTAGTGAAATCTACAGTAATCCAAAGCTTCAACATTAGCCTGAAAACTGTAATTCCAAATCTAGGTCAAACTAATGTAACAAAAAACCAAGTTTCTGATATTCTTTTCCAAGTCGATTTACAGTAATCCCTTCCAAATCTAGGTCAAAATACGGTACACCAAATTAATCTAGAATAATCCAGCCTACAGTAACCCAAAAGAAAGTACGGTAATTTTATAATTCTAAGCTACAACATAAACACAAATTTGATTTTCTAAGTCTAGATCAAATCTACAGTAACCCAGAGAAACCTACAGTAACCCAATCAACTTCCAGACCAATGGGATCACCACTATTCACCGACGAAGACCAACTGATCACAAATCTCCCTCCACATCTTCAAAAAATCAATAATCTCAACAAATCTCAACAATCCCAAAAACCCCAAAAATCCGAAAAAATCCAAATGGGCGGAGCTCCAAACATCCCCAAATTTCCACATGAAGAAATCAATAAAATTTTCACAAAAGTGGACAAAACTCAAGCTGCCGTACTAAAAGAGATCATCAAAAAACAAGAGGAACGTCTGAAAATTCTGGAAGATCAAGTTTCGGAAAAATCGAAAATCGAGGATATGTCGGATGAGGAGAAGACGCGAAAAATCGAGGAATTGGAGAGAAAAACGAAGGAAATGGAGGAGAAAATGGAGAATTATGAGAGGAAACTAGTGGAGAAGGAACGGCAAATGGCGATTATCGATAATGGATATTTGCAGTTTGGTTTGGGAATGACACGATTTCAAAGTTCAGCTGGACGAATGCCAGATGATCCGATGCCAAAAATTGATGGGAAATTGGGGATTAGAAATGTTCAAGGGGTTTATGGGAACTCCTAGGGGGTACAGTAATCCGCTATTTTTGTTTTTGAGCTTCAGTAATCCCCTGATTTCCATTTAAAACTACAGGAATCCTTCAATTGTCGTAGAAACCACAATGAAACCCGATCTACAGCTATCAGATTGTTTGTATCAAACAGCTGAACTTAGTACCGTACCGTCAAATTTGAGCTCAATTATCTCGGTTACTATGAAACATATCAAAAATTGGTCAACTGATAAAATGTAGGTGATACTATGATAAATATTTTATCAGTTGACAAATTTTTGATATCTTTCACAGAAATCGGGATAATTGAGCTCAAAGTTAATGGTTTAAATGTAATCCTCTAATTTCAATGAATCTACAGTAATCCCTTGTGTGAAGGTACAGTAATCCTTTGCCATAAAAACTTTTTTGCATTATCTTGACGTCTATAAGCTACAGTGACCCAACCTACAGTAATCCTCATGCGATTTCTTCAATGTTACAGTAATTCTCAATTAGCAATCTTAGGGCTACTGTAATCCACAAACTGTTTTAGGAGTCTCTGGGGTACAGTAATCCTTATCCGTATGAACTACAGTAATCCCTTACTTATGGTGAGTAAAGGCTTACTGTAGTTAGACTTTGACTTTAAGTTAGACAGTAACCTGGGTTACTATAGTCCAAATTCGGCAAGAGTTTCAGAATTTTTGATTTTTTCGGAACTTTCAATTTTTTTGAGTTTTTTGGATTCTACAGTAACCCGAACTCTGTCTTAATTTTAAATTACAGTACCCCAAAGTACAGTAATCACTTATTTTTCCTGGTCTCTTTTTTTTTCGTTGCAATTTTTCTTGTCTTATCTCTTTCTCTCTCTCGTAAATCTAAATCAGATCTCGCTTCTACAGTAACCCATGTTTTCAAATTTACAATTTTCTCGATCAATGTTTTAATTGTGATTCTTTGATTAATAATTAATACTTTTTTGAATTTTTTACTATTTCAAAGTTTTTATAATAAAATTTTTTTGAACTTTTTTGATTTCATTTGTTCTTCTCTGATGAGGTTCCAAAATTTCTTTTGAATCCTTATCATATCTTTTTTATCACATTTTGTTCATTTTTTTTTATCTAAAATTTTTCAGAGAATTGGTGGCTTGCTTTTGGGTAGTTGATTAATTAATTGGGACTAATTAAATAATTCATTCAAAGAAAATGGAGAGAGACAAATTTTGGGATGATGTGCAAAAGAAAATTCATGAAGAATTGAGGACGAAGTGAGTTTTGCAAAAGATTTTTGAAAATTCAAAATTTTCAAAATGTGTAAAATTGAATTTTACACGTTTATTGAATTGACCACTTTTTTCTAACTACTGTAGTTTTTGAGTTATGCGCCTTTAAATAAAGCGCTTCAATAGAGGAAGGGTGCGCTCCACTTTAAAAGCTCATATCTCAAAAACTACCGTAGGTAAAGAAAAGTGTTTAGCAACGAAAATGTGTGAAACTGTATTTTACATATTTTTGTAGTTGACAACTTTTTTCTAGATACCGCAGTTTTGGAGATTTGCGCCTTTAAAGAAAGCGCTTCAACAGAGGACGGGTGAGCACCTCCAAGCGGCCGCTAACTTTAAAGGCGCATATCTAAAAAGGTGCGATTTCTAGAAAAAAATGTAGACTACAAAAATGTAGGAAATTTTTTTGCTGAGCAATTTGTTGGTTAGCAATTTTTGATAACTTCTTTGGTTTCCGAGATATGCGCCTTCTCCCGCATGAGGCGCCCATCTTGCTCTGTAAGAGCTCTTTCTTTAAAGACGCATAACGCAAAAACTACAATAGCTAGAAAAAAGGTTTAAACTACAATACATGTTAAATCCTATGTTCTACATTTTTGCAATTAACAACTTTTTTCAAGCTATTGTAGTTTTTGAGTTATGCGCCTTTAAAGTCGGCACTGTCTCATGAGGCGCCCACCTTGCTCTGTAAGAGCCTTTTCGGCTGCGGCTGCTTGAAGGCGCTGACGAAAGCGCGTTCTAGCAGCCGCCAACTTTAAAGACGCATATCTCAAAAACTACAATAGCTAGAAAAAAGGTTTAAACTACAAAACATGTTAAATCCTATGTTCTACATTTTTGCAACTGACAATTTTTTTCAAGCTACCGTAGTTTTCGAGATGTGCGCACTCCATCCTGTGGCGCTCGCTTGCTCTGTAGCAGCCCCTTTTTTAAAGGCGCATATCTCAAAAACTAGTGAAGCTAGAAGTAAGTTGTCAACCAGAATAACTTTCAGAAGACCCAAGGACGTCGATCCCCGCATATTTTCGATGAACGAACAAATTGGATACGCCAGCAGTGTGTTGCGCCGTCACGATGACATCTTTTTCGCGACGATGAATTTTATGTTTTCTACACTTCCGCGAAAAATGTTCGAATTAAATATGGCCAATGAGAATGTCTATACACTGAAAATGGAGAATTTGAAACTGAAAAAAATGAGTGAGGAGGAGAGAAAAGTGTTGAAAAAGCACGCGGAACAGAACATGGCCGCAGATCGAGCGGCATATGAAAAAGATCGGTTGGATTTCGATCGATTGATGGAATCGATGTGTTGTACAAAAGATGATCTATCGAAGTATTGCGAAAAAATTCGAGAGTGTTTTGTTTGTTTCGATGTTTATACAGTAGAGGAGAAGAAGAAGAAATTGGAAGAAAAACGGGAAAGAGAGGAAGAAAATAAAAATGAGCTAGATGAGGAGAAGAACAAGGGGTGAGAGTTTTGAATTTATTTATTCTGCAGCAACCCAATCTACAGTAATCCCTTTCTGTGTCCTTGCAATGTCAAGCTTACTGTAGTCCACATACTGTCTTAGGAGTCCTGGGGTACAGTAATCCTCACTTGTATAATCTACAGTAACTCCTTACATTTAGGGATCACTGTTGTAAGACTTCTGAATTTCTGAATTTTTGAATTTCTGAATTTCTGAATTACTGAATTTTTGAATTTCTGAATTTTTGAATTTCTGAATTTCTGAATTTCTGAATTTCTGAATTTATGAATTTCTGAATTTCTGAATTTCTGAATTTTTGAATTTCTGAATTTCTGAATTACTGAATTTTTGAATTTCTGAATTTCTGAATTACTGAATTTCTGAATTTCCGAATTTCTGAATTTCTGAATTTCTGAATTTCTGAATTTCTGAATTTATGAATTTCTGAATTTTTGAATTTCTGAATTTTTGAATTTCTGA